ACATCATCCCCCAGCCTGTACTGATACTGCAGGACCTGGCACCACGCAGGGTGCATTGCAGAGGAACAGTTTGCAAGGTGCATGGAGGAGACTGCAGGGTGCATTGGGGGTAGTTTTCAGGGTGCACTGGGGGGGCAGTTTGCAGCTGTGTTCCCCACACACACCACGTCCAGAGAGGGGAACAGGACCCACAGCCCTCGCGTGCACCCCATGCCAGCGCAGCACGCAGCAGACAGTGCCATGCTGGCCCCCTCAGTTGCAGCACTGGCCACACAGGTTCTAGTCCCAGCCCTCAAGAAGTACAGACACAAACAGGACCTGGGGCAGGATGGCAGGATCCAGCCCTGCAGTTTTATTGAATCTGGTGTCCCTGGGGCAGGCGGCTCCCATGGCCCGGGGGGCCTCATTCATCCCAGGGTTCCTTGTCAGTGTCGATGGACACGCAGTTGTACACAGCGTACCGCAGCAGCTTCTCACAGGCCTTGGCCCTGGTGAGGGGAAACACTGGGTGATGGTCGTGACAGGCACCAAGAGCCTCATGCTTCCCTCCCCACACCTGCCCGGACGTCCCCCAGGACAGGACCTGGGGAACTTGGAAGGGGACCCCAATGCCAGCTCTAGGGACAGGGGAGCATCCCTGTCCCCAGCTCGACTCACGAGGAATAGTTGGGCAAGAAGCAGCTGCAGGAACATGTGGAGGCCTGTGGCATCAGGTCCAATGCATCCGAGCTTGGGAGAAAGGAGAGAGAGTCAGACCCTGGGACAGTGCAGGGACCCCGGCACACCGCTGGGACCCCAGCCCGGGCAGGACAGACTCACTTTCCCCTTTCCGGGTAGACAGTGATTTGAACTGGGAGGCGGCTCCGACCAGTGACAAACTTGAGGAAGCGGCTGAGATCCTCTGAGGGGAAGGACAGCACTCAGGTCTCAGGGACAGGGACAGGACTGTCCCAGTCACTGCTGTCATAGCAGGGTCTGCCCTTGCAGAAGCATCCCAGGAGCACAGGGCATCCTACTCAAAGTGTCCTGAGAAGGACCAGGCAGGATGACCCCAGCCAACTCCCAGGCAAGCACCCGCTGAGCATCCCCGGGGCACAGGGCAGCGGGTACCCTGTCCCCTGGCCCGTCCTGCTGCACATGAAGAGCGGGGAAAGGCCTGGGGACGCTCACCGCTGGTGAAGTTGCTGAGTGCCTCCAGGAAGTTCTGGATACGGGTGTCATCAGAGGGAAAGTCCTCAAATGTGACTGTGACAAAGAATGCACAACAGCTTCATTAGAAACTCCCAGCAAAGCAAATTATCACGGGACACGTCCATCCTGCCCTCTGTGAGAGCCCAGAGAGGAGGCAGGAGAGAAGGAGACCCTCTGCTTTCAGTGAGCCCCTGAGAGCCCCTGGCACCCCTGAGTGGGGCCAGCACCCTGCGTGAAGGTGGGTGGAGAAACGGGGGTCCCGGTTTGCAGGGTGGCCACTTGCCTCTGCCCATAGCAGCTGACAACCAGATGGACCAGAGTGGGGACCGGTGGGGTTTGCTGCTAAACCTGAAGCATCCCTATCCAAGGTCCCTCTGGCTCATCCTCCCCCAGGCTCCCAGGCACCCCATGACCAGGGACTCAGCACAGGGCAGGATGTGTGCGCAGGATGAGCATCATCGCGGGGGGCCCCTGCCCATACAGGGGGCCGGGAGTGGCTTTGGGCTGGCCCTGGCACTTACGGAAATTCCGCAGTTCAGCCACCGTGATCTCAGGGTCCCCGCAGACCTTCTTCTCCAGCTGCTGCCAGGTGAGCAGGTCCAGCACAGGCTGGGGCACCACACGGAGTAGCCCGGCACGCATGGCTGCGATCTTTGGGGGGCAGAGGAGGGGATCCACATCACCGCATTGGGCCTGAGCCCAGAGCGGCCACCCAGGGCCCTGAGGGACAGGGACCGCAGGACCCCAAAGTGGGTCCCTACAGCTCACAGACATCCTGGGCATGGGATGCATGGAGGAACTGCCCAGCTGGAGCTGGTTTTGGGGACACGTTTTCGCAGCCACGAACCCCACAGGTACCAGGAGGGCTTGCCACAGGAGCAGGGTCCCCTTGGAGCCATGCCGGCCCTGGAGGATGGCATTACCTGCTCCTTGCTCTCCTCCAGCCGAGCTCTCCGCACCAGGTGGATGAATTCCTTGCGGTCCTCATAGCGCACCACAGTGCTGCTGCCATTGGGGATCAGCTCCACCGTGCGTTGGTCACTCAGCACCGTTGTGTAGGTCAGCTCTCTGCCAAACATGAACTCGAAGGCTTCCCTGTCCACCCCTTCCAGCACCTCTAGCAGCTTCACCTGCAACCCCAATGGGCAAAAGCCATCATGGTGGAGCCAGAGCAGCCACAGGAGCACACAGTACTGCCCTGCCAGCCCCCAGCCCCACTCACCAGCTCCAAGTCCACGGCAGCAAAGTCCTTGCTCCAGCTGACCTCCTCCCCTGCCAGCTGCTTCCACACCAGTGCCGGCAGAGCCAGGACCTGCCAGAGGGAGCAGAGATACACGTCCTCCTCGTGCCCCTCTTTCACCCAAGGGCAGTCCCTCTGCCCAAGACACAGCAGCCCCCGCTAAGCCCCCTCGCCAGCCAGGGAGGCTCTGCCATGCTCACCAGAAACTCCTTGCTCCTCAGAGCTGCTCCTATCAGCTGCCCGATCCACTCATACTTGGGGAAGTCCTCGCAGGAGGGGTTGGGGACATACATGTCCCTGGTGTGGCTGCTGCTGTTACCCTGTAGGAGAGAAACTTAGGGCCCACAGACACAGACACAACCAACTCCATGCGGTCCCTCCTGCAGCATCCCTCCCCATCACCCCTCCACCGCCCTCTCCTGCCCTTTACACCCCTCCAGATCTCCACCACCCAGGTACCAGCACAGCCCCCCCGCCAATAGCCGTGCAAGCTTTAAGCTAGGACTAACACCCTAAAAGCCCCCAGGCTCTGCTGGCTGTCCCCCCAGGCTGGGACAGGCAGACAGTGGGGTGCCAAACCTGGTTGGAGGTGCGCACAAAGAAGGGCAGGGGCACGGGGACATCACCCGAGCTGGGACATAGCTCCTCTGACAAGT